GTGTTAAGAAAGTATTTATTTGGGTTTTTAAAATATTGTCTTTGAGTTCTTGTTAATTTAAACTGAACAAGGTTTTGGACGCTTTCAACTAGGCAGAGTTCTTGGGTTCTTTAATCAATAGAGATTGATAAGGGGCCAGACGAGAAATTCAGGCGAGGCTTTATTGCAACTTCTGCTGCAGCAGGAGGGAATGAAAACAAGCAACAGCTGCTCTTGCTCGCTCTCCGAAGCGGCGGGAACTGAACCGGCCCCTTAAATGGGGTGAGGGTAGGGGTGGGTCCGTGGGTCTGGGCAGAGGAGTTGTTTAGATGATCTGCCCACAGACTTGGTGGTGCTGTGAACAAGGATCCTCCATAGTACCCTGCTTTTGCTCCCAGCACTTCCGAAGTGGCAGTTGGATTTTGGCCTTTTTATATTTTTTTGTTCATAATTCACCCCAACTGTGCATGCATACAGTTAAGTTTTAGTCCTTTATAGTTTCTTTTTATTCTGTTGCTGGAGGAGACATTTGTCCAGGTGCAAGCACTCCAGTAAAGAGTCCCAGGTCTCAGGTCCCAGCCTGTCTCAATAACATATAATTTTAAGTACTTGTAAATGTTTATGTTAGTACAAAAGTAATACATGTTAATTATAGGAAATACAGATAAAACAAAAAGAGGGAAATTTAAAATGCCCATTATCCTACTCTGCCCCAAAGAGAAACACTATTAACTAATTAACTTATATGATACATTGTTTCCAGTTATGTATATATGCATATGTATTATATATATTCACATCCACAATTACAAATTGTTTTATACATTGTTTATTTTACTTACTAATATTTTATGAACATATTTCCATATTGCTAACTACCTATAACATAATTTTTGACAACATAAATTTTTAGTAGTATGACATTGTATTTGTCCACTCTCTTTCTACTGGACATTTTTTCCAAAGACAAGAAATCTTTAAAGATAATTTGCAGAGGGAAAGTATAGCTCAGTGGTAGAGTGCATGCTTAGCATGCATGAGGCCCTGGGTTCAATCCCCAGTACCTCCATTAAAATAAATTAATAAATAAAAACCTAATTACCCCCCCAAAATTAATAAAGATGATTTTCCATACAGACAATTATTTCAAAATTAAAAGCTTTTTCTTCTTTTTTTAGGTAGAAGAGGGACTATAGAAATGTAAAATGATTTGAACTCTTATTTACTAAAAAATGTATGTAATTTTAAAAAATGAACAGAGCCTCAGTGATCTGGAAACAATATTATAAGCTCAAACACATTGTACACAGAGTTTTAGTATGAGAAGAGAGAATGGGGCAGAAAAATATTTTATGATACAATGGCTAAAAATTTCCCAAATTTGATAAAGACAAATGTATACATTCAAGAAGCTCAGAAAACCCAAAGCATGATATTTTTTTTAAAAAAAAGCTTACACCCAGGTATATCCTAATTAAACTGCTAAAAACCAAAGCTAAAAAGAAAATCTTGAAAGCAGCCAGAAGCAAAGGACACATTACACACAAGGGAACAATAAACAACTGATTACTGTCTTAACATTAGAAATTATTAAGGCCAAAACACAATAGAATGACATCTTTAAGGTGCCAGAATGAAAAATCTGTCAGCCCAGAATTCTACCTCCAGTGAACATATCCTTCAAAACTGAAAATTATATACATATTTCAGGAAAATGAAAGTAAGAATCTATCGTTAGCAGAACTGCTGTAATGAATTGTCAAGGGAAGTTGTTCAGGATGAGGGTAAATGATGCCAGATGGAAACTTAGACTTCAGGAGGGGATGAGGAACACCGGGAAAGTAAGTATGTGGGTAAATTTTAAAAGGCTATTTTTTAACTTCTGCATTTCCTTTGTCTTCCCTTCTTTTTTCACTTACTTGGTAAGAAGATTTTTTAATTTACAATATGGGCTGAGTATGTCTTCATTTCTTTGAAATACATATAACTATATAAAGCAAAATTTTTAACACTATATTTTGGTTTATAACATATGTAGTTGTAATACAGATGACAGAGTGCACATTTGGTTCAATATTCATAAACCAATCAATATATTCTACCATATTAACAGAATTAAGGAGAAAAACAATATGATTGTTTTGGTAGATACAGAAGTCATTAGACACAATTTAATAATTCAATTCATGACTCTAAAAAACTCAACAAATTAAAGTTCCTCAATCTGATGAAGGTTGTATATGATACATGTAATGATAAAATATTGAATATTTTCCCTCTGTGACAGTGAACAAACTAAGAATGTCCACCTGTACTAATTTACTATTGTTTGTAATGTATAAAAATTTAAGATTGAATATTTGATGAATAAAGGGGTGGATACATGGATAGAAATGTGATAAAGCAAATGTAGCAAACTGTTAATTATAGACTCTATGGGGTACGTATGTGCATGTTTACTCTGTAATTCTTCCCATTTCTCTATGCTTGAAAATGTTCATAACAAGATGTTGGAGGGAAAAGTTTGCAAAGTTCTACATTAGAGAAACCTGTTTAACTTTCTTTAACCCTGTTTCCAAAATTTCTTTTTTCATCAAAACAAAATAAAACCCCTAAGGAAAATGTAATAAACCCTGCAGAACATACTCTGGAAAACACTTTATATTTAGATTGAGTCTACACCCATTTAGATTTTTAAAATAAGAATGATGTATCACATCCACTGCTGCGTAACAAACTACCACAAAACACAGTGACTTAAGGACAATGTTCTATTCTGTAGGTTGACTGGAACTCAGCTGGGTAGTTCTGCTGATCTCACTTGGAATCTCTCATACATGTGAGCTCATCTGAAGCTTGAACATCCAAGGGGACTTCTCACCCTCCAGGGTCTCTCTCCAGGTAGCCTTCAGGTATTCTAGTCTAGCTTTCCTCACCAGCATGATGGCTCAGCTCCACTGTCCACTGTGTTTCCTGTCATCAACTACCAATTCTTCCTCTTTCCCATCAGTATTTTCTCTTTACTACATAATTCTTGATTTCTCACCACTTCAGCCTGCCATGAACTATCACGGCCCTACCTCACGGTCTAGACCAGGGACTGGCAAAATTTGGCCTGTGGGCCCAATGTGGTCTGCAGTGCCTTTGTAAATAAAACTTTTTTGGGACATAGTCATACTCATTCATTTACTATTATCTGTGGCATCTACTGGCTACAAGGGCAGAGCTGAGTAGTTGCAACAGAAACTGTGATCCACAAAATCTATTTGGCTCTTTATAGACTTTTTCCTGATCCCTTATGGCTTGTGTCTCCAGACGTTCATTTAGCTTCTGTTCTCACTGACTTATGCTTGAAGTATTTTCCAGTCTGAGTTCCTAGAAGAGAGAGGACCAAAATCCTCTGAAATCCTCATTCATCAATCTGGAATGAAATGAAAGAGGACATTCTCATTTCATGCCAGGCCACTGCACGGTGTGTTGGCCAGCTATGAAGATGCGGAATGTGGGCGATGTGTTCTCTCCCCACCTTATCCGATTAGCTGTGGCTGAGGAAATGTGGGTAATGCACAGGCAGTAAAACGGAGCTGCCTGGATGGGTCGGGGCATCGTGGGCACTATATGTCTAGCGCAACTGCAAATCAAACTGAATAAGCTAATATATTTAAAATTACATGATACTGTGCGTGAGCCATATATTTATAAAATGTCAAAAGTACTTGCCATCATCTTTTGAGACTCCAGTGAAGTCTGTTAAGTGTCCATTCACTGGTCATAAACAAGAATCTAATGTATTAAAGATGTTTCCATCTATGCTTTTCATTCACAATAATGCTTTTAGAAGTACTTAAGCTTGCTTAGGTGTTGTTCAATCTATGAATGCATTAATTATATTGCTCTGTCTAATCAACCTCACAGAACTGAAAACCAACCTTTAAAAGAATTTTTTTGTAGGAAGATGTGAAAATTAATATAGCATGTAGGTGCTGTTGGTTCTAATTAAAATCAATATCTGTCCTTAAAAAAAAGTACTTACCAATTAAGATCAATTTGAAGTTAAATACAGTACCCTTGAAATTAATAATATAAATCAGTGACAAAGTATGATGTAACTTATACAAATCCAGTTCGCATAAAATATTATAGCTCTATTGCATAATAGGACATATAATATTATAGTGTTATTGTACCTGCACAACATAATATACCACTAACACTTCCCAGGAGACAAAAAGTAGGTGAAAAAAAGACTACATGAACAATTAAACTAAGACTGGGTGAGTAGTACTTAGATACTAATTATTCTTCTTATTTGGAAAAAATCCAATAGTTCATCCAGTATGAATTACGCACTTTCTCAAGGATAAGTTACTAAATCACAGAGTTGTAATAAGCAGCACTTTTAACAGGTTCTTCTTCCGTGCTTTTCCAACTTAAACTTCATCCACTTTGGTTGCCTACATCTTGCCTCCCTTCCACACTACAGATGGCTCCAGTTCAGATCTTATATGGAGGAGAACACCCTGACAATCCTGAAACTCCTCAGATCCTTCTAGCAGTGTAAAAGGTATGGTACTAGAGTACACTTTATAGACAGATCTGACAGCATTTTCAATAAACAAAATTCAAAATAAATTTTCCCCACTGAAAAACAAACAAGCAAAACATGGGAAGAGACTTTCAGAACAATGCCTACAACTTCTTGCCTGGACAAATTGTAACACACACAAATAGCTTCCAAAATAACTTTTATTACTATATAAAAACAAGCCAAGAAAAAAAAATAGATGTATATTTTTTCTACAAAATTATAAAATATTCAGGCTATTTAATATTTTTCCATAAATGTGTTGAGACAAAAAGGCAAATTTAAACATAGAAATCTTTTCCACTTAAAAGTTTTCAGGTACCTTGTAAGGGATAAATAGTTTTCGTTCTTCTATACTTTCCTATGTAGCTCTAAGCAGTTACAGTTTTCTGTCGTTATCTAAAAAAGGACATACAAAGATAAAAATGCCATCGTGTTGCAATAAAATTAGCAAAAAGCTTTATTTTTTCCTTTGGGCTTTCAGATTTGGCAGTTGTAGTCAACTGGTATTGCACTGGAATTTCCAACCCAGCAGGGAAAAGAGCCTAATTAAAAATGAGACATCTTTATTTTGTCCTTTAGAAAACAGGAGCCACTTGTCAGTATTTCTTAAAAAGGGCAATTTCCTTCTTTGTCATTTGATTGTAAGATCTAAGATACTGTTTCTAACCCACACAACTTAAATGAGACCACGCAAAGAAAGGGAAGAAGGACTTGGGAGGGTGGATTTAGTTGGACACGAGGCAAACGGGAAGCTGTACACATTTGATAACATTAATTTAAAAAGGATATTCCTTTGAGTTTCTCAATAAACCCTTTGAGACAAAAGGCTTTAGTGTTGATTTAGACGAGTGTTAAAATAAGGCTTTTTTTCTTCTGAAATTAGATTATGGGGTAAGCCAAGCCAGGCTATCTCTGCAGATGATATAAGCCATAATTATTTGGGAAGATTTCAATCACTGTTTTGGAATTGATACTTAAGGCTTTCTTCTCTCCTATTCTTTTTGTGGGCTTTTTAATGAGATATTTTTGGGGGAGATACTTTAGGTAGGAAATCTCAGCTTTTGAAAGATAAAGGTACAATTATCATTAGAATAAAAAAAGCCCATTAAAAGAAAAGTCTCAAGCAGAAAGGTTTTCTAGATATATTTTACTATGCATTGTTTTCATAAAGGTTGAGAAAGAAAGAGAAGTTCCTATAATATCTGTAAGATTACCCTCACATTAGCCCACAAGAGGGATAAAATAAAAGGCTGAGGTGAGGGGTGCTCAAAGTCTTCTCAAAGGAGCAGAAGAGTCTAGTGCCAAATCCATAATTAACTGTTCACTAATAACCTCCTTCTTGGCCTACATGAAATGGAATGGCAGCCTCTATCCTTGGGGCTGTCACCAATCCCTTCCCCTCAGAAAACTCTGGAATTTTGTGCACCTCTATGTAATGAAACATCCATTTACCAAAATACATCTGTGTGTGATCATACAATTACTCCTTCCACTTAACACCAAAATTGCAGCATGCTCCACTTATACTGAATTTACTTCCTACTGCATGCCAGGCACTGGGCTGGACACTGGGAATCATTATGACACTACTGACAATTTGGGAAATAGAATTAAATAAGAAGAAAACAGTATTTTGGCCAGAGACTCTTCAATGGTTATCCGTGAAGCTTAAGGAACCTTATGGAGTGTAGCTCATACTCAGTCTATGGAAGTAATTACCAGTTACCCTAAAAGGAAATTCACTTAGCACCAAAAAGGTTAAGTTTATTTGGTATAAACTGTAAGGTTTTTAATCAACATTAAAATGCTCCAGTTTAAAATTGCAGGGAAACCAAAAATCAACCCCAAAATGAAAAGCATCATTTCAGCATAGGCACTGCTCTAGGTTTTAATTTAAGTCAGTCCAGAGCCTAGACAGAGGTCTCCATGCAGGAAAGTTGTCATCTCTAAGTCTCCATCCAAAACTCAAGATATCCCCTAAAATTCCACCAAAATCAGGAAAGACCCTAGCTCTTGCCCCTAGGGAAGGGCAGACTATGAAGTCAGTCTTTCCTATCTCGAAACCCAAAGCTATTCAGCAGCTAAGATCTTGAAGAACAAAAATTGAAATTGAGGAATCTTGGATGCTATGGATAGTCTTGCCTAATCCTTTCTTTGTCACCAAGACACAACTTAAAGATCAAAGAGGCATCAAGGTAGACACTTTGGCAGTGGCAGGGTGCCCGTGATGAATTTCCTGGCCAAACTGCCAGGGTTTGAATCTCAGTTCCACCACTTATGAGCTGTGTGACCTTCAGGCAAGTGACTAAGCTCTCCAAGCCTCACATCTCTCATCTGTAAAACAGATTTTAACAGTACGTACTGCATAAGTTTCGTCTGGGGATTTAATGAGCTAAGGTTTATAAAGTGCTTAGAATAGTGTCTGGCACATAGTAAGTTCCATGTATAAACAAAACCCCAGAAACTTGGAGTAAAGTACTCTTTGAGATTTGTTAAGTGGTTTATACTGCTTAAGCATTCATGCATATTCTCATTCTAATTAGGTTTGGAATCTGGATCATGAAGTACACTGAACCCAAGTAAGCCTTGAGACTAAGTTGGTTTTGGAAAAACTTCCAGGACCAGCTGGAGATTTCTTCAGCTACCTACAACCCAGTCACTGCTCCAAAATACCCTAATATAAACCCTGGTCCCCAGGGCCAACCTAAGGCCAAACCAGCCAGGGAGGGAGCAGAGGGCAGGCACAGGGTAAAGGGAACCAGTTACTTTCCTACATTTTTTTCTGTGCTCTAGTCATCATATCTGTGGAGCACAAACCCTGTCCCAGATATTCATGATCTCATTCTAAAACTTCAAGACTGGACTCCCAGAATTAACAGAAAATGACTGCAAGACAAGAGGCCAGGGATAGTTTAGTTTATCAAATTTACCAACCAACAGACACATTTTGATTGTATGTTCTATCATATGTTCAAGGCACTGGGCTAAATGCTTTGGTCCTCAACCAGGGAGAGGTAACATCACCACAATTTATATCCACTATTATTTACTTTGATCATCTCCTTTCCAATTCAGGTAAGTTCATAGGCCTCAATCAATACAAATGCATTCAAGAAATTCTGCTTTATGATTAGAATAAATATGGACCCAGTGGAGCCCAACCATCTTAGGGCTAAATACGAGAAGCTAAACTGTAGAGCTAGTTTTTTAAAGTGAAGTAACGTGGCTATATCTCTACCCCGTTTTACATGGTGGATCTCTGTCCAGCCTCGTCAAGGGTGAAGTTCCTTTTCCTCGCTGCTGCTTCACTGTTTAACTCTGCATCTGATTTGTCCACATTGCCAAAGTTCATCGCCATGGAACTTTCCACTCCCTCTGGAGCGCCTCCATTTGGCTGAAGAAGGACAGAATTTGGTTCTTTAGGGCGTTTCCACTGTGGTCTGGTGACTATCCAAAAAATGAGGGCCCCATACAGTAGAATCAGAAGGCTAAGGGTATTTGTGAAAACACCTTCTGGCGGGAATGTACTGTATGCAGGATCTTTCCTACAAAAAAGGAGAGAGTGTGTCCAGTTACAAATAGGGTGATAACAGCGACATGCCAAACTGTCTTGAATTTATCTGCTCAAAACACACATTGGCAGAACTTCAATGTAAATTCCCTTAAAGCTTGATATTAAGGAGAAATTTAAGTAATGTTATAATTCACTCAAAGGAATTGTATGAAATACCATAAGTATGAAAACAATATAGCATCTGGAACACCCGTATCACTTAAAAATTGAAAAAAGGGTAACACAAAATGTACGTACATCACAATTATAGTTAATATAAAAATATGCACATCAACATGACTGAAAGGGCATGTATAACTTCAAGAGTTGTTTTGTAAGAGTGGTACAATTTGTTGGACTTTTTGGTTCTTCTTCCAAGCATTATTAATGGTACATTACATGTATAATAGTCTTCATTTGCAAAAATAAACATCTAAACTTTTTATTTTCAACATTTAAAAAATGTGATTATATTTTCCCAATGGAACAAGTATTTAACATTATACATTTTAAGAACTGCAAAGTGTTAGGAAAACTATGCAACTTACAGGGCAAAAATCAGTTTCTCGGTCACTCCCATAAGTACTGTCGCAATCACTGTCCCAAAGATGAGAAGCCCAGAATAAACATGCAGGGGTATGAGAAGTGCTCGGAGAGAGAGTGGAGCCCAAGGAAGCAGAAAGACGAAAAAACCTAGGAGAAGCTAAACATCAAAAAGTTCAAAGGTTATCATTTAATTTTAAGTTTTAACTGATTTTAAAATTATTATTATAAAAGCAATATGTACAAAATGAGAAAACATGTCATATAGATCCATAGCCATAAAATGAAGCTTCCCCACTTCGGTTCCACTCAAAAGTAACACCTATTATCACTTTCTCAAGTCCTTCCAAAAAATTTCTATGATGAAATAGGTATATGTGCATGTGTGTGTAAAGAGAGAGAGGAGGAGAGGTTTTAAAAGCAGTAGTGGGTTTTACTATATGTATTTGTTCTGCATATTGCTTTTTTCCCCTTAATAGTGTATCTTGGAGATCTCTGCATATCAACACATGCTTACCTAGTTTATCCTTTTTCATGGCTAATATTCTAATTTAAGATGGTAACATAAATTATTCAGTTCCCTATTAATGAATGCTTCTGTGTCCAGTTTTTTGCTATTGTTAACAAGGCTACAGTGAACATTCTGATACATACTTGTTTGTTTTTATCAATGTCCCCAAGGTTGCCAAGTAGGAAGGGAAGTAAAAGATTCTTAAGTCACTACATCCAAACACAATAGGACACATTTATCAGTTCAATCTAAAAAATTATGTGGAAAAAAGTTGGCAATTTTGTTTTAGGAGGAAGAAGTGAGTTCTGCAGAAAAGTTCTCTCCATTTCCTTGATAATTAAATCCCTAGTGGGATAATTCTCTGCAGAGAAGACAAGATTCAAGATTCCTAGGTAAACTAGTCTGCTAATGCTTTCACAGTTTTGTTTTTATTACCTCACACCCGCTGCCTGTTAAGTAGTCTGTTCTCCTCAAGAAAATGAAGATGACTTAGTGACCATTAAGTTACTGAGTTTAAAGGGACTTTTTTTAGGTATCTCTTTGGGATCTACCACCCTAACAAAGCAACTAGGAGCAGAGAGGAGAATGAAGAGAAAACGCTAACATCATGTTCACTACTGATTGAGAACAAAGGCTTAACGGGGGATAGAGAAGAATGAAGGCTGAAGGGGAGTGATGCCCTAAAACACATTTAGAATCAGCTTACAGACAATGGTGTTGAATGGAAAGTAATTGAAAATGCATTCAATAGGCAGGTTTGCATGTTTTATCGTCCTTTAATACCACAAATACCTGAATAGATTAGAAATGGTTCAGAGAGTCCCCCCTGATGTTTCAGAATGTTCCTAATTCTCCTTCAGTGAACTTTGGTGATTCTATTAGTATCCACGGGCCAGCATCCTCAAGTACAGGCTGTGCTTTCTATACAAAAATGGGGCTCAGGTGAGTAGCTGCCTAGGATTTAGCACAAATATATTTCTATGAGTAAGTCACCATATCTTTTCTGTGACTTACCTATCAAAAAATATATTTTCCATATTCCTGTTTTCCTGCCTCTTTTCATTGCTAAGATTCTTACTGTTCTGAATGATTCTTGTTTTCTCTTCTTTCAGGATTTATCATGTGTGTCTCTTGTAATCCTGTAGAGCTCAATGATCTAAGCAGATGGGACATCAGAAATTTGCTTATAGGAGCAACCTACTTAACTTGCCTAAATGTTACTTTCACAATTAAAAAATTTTTTCAAAAAATTAAAAATAAATAAAATTTTTTTTCAACAAAGGAAAACCACTTTAAAAGGAAAGGAAAAAACTATAGAATGCTTAATTTTGATTGTAAGTATTCCAAATGATGCAAACTTATAATTTATAAAACTTTATAATTTATAATAATCACTCTTTATTTCCTTTTAATCATCTTAACCTTACCATCTTAGAAGTAATATGTCAACTTAAAATCTAGTGGACTGAATATTACAAAATCCCTTAGCCCCTTTAAGTTAGTGGTTCCTGAAGTATTGTTCATAGAAAACCTGCACCAGAAACACAAGATTTTATTTAAAGAGACTCCTGGGCCACATCCAAATCTGCTAACTCAGAATTTCTGGAAGCAGGGTCCAGGAATCTGCATTTTGACAGAATGTCAGGGTGATTCTTAACACATACTGAAGTCTAAAGACCACTGCTTTTGAGTCATTCAAATTATTTTGGAGATACAGGTTAACTGCAGTCTGGAAAAAACCTAAAAGTGAAGGCAGTAGAATCTTCCATTCCATTCAATCTAAAACACTAAGTGCCAACTATGTGCAAAGTGCTCCAGTGTTTAGGAACCATCACCTACAGAAAACTGTTCTTCATCAAAATGGAGTTCTTACGAGAGCTAAAGGAAAGTAAAATCTCATTTAAAAAGTTATTTTTTAGATATGAAAGTGAAAATGTAGTATGATCCTATTATACTTACAATTTTCTAAAACTATGTATTCATAAACATAGTAAAAGCCTGAAGGAAATAAACAAAATATTATGACATCTCTAGATAATGGCATTAATCAATGATTTGCAGGGGTTTCTTTATATTTTTCAGATTTTGTGACTTTTTCAATAAATGTATAATACTTTTATAATTAAAAACAGACAATAAAAGTTTAGTCTTAAAGTTCCCGTGTTAAATACCTGGGCTTTTCTGAGTTAATTATTATTGTCTTTTAAAGATACAAATGTGCTTTACTTTGACAATTTTATCTTACTTTATGAAACTGATGAGTTAAAAAAAGATATGTGTAAATTTTTAGACATAACAAAAGGTTTTCTTTGCAAAAGTCATTAATGAGATCAGGAAACATGCCTAGCTAGCTTTTGTTTTGGGTATGATATGCTTTTTTTTTTTAAAGATAGAGGTGGTTTTAATGAGCAATCAAGGGATTTACAGATTATTATATGAAGGCTCCTCCCAGCTCCTCTTCATTTTTCTGCTATGTATACACAGTCAGCACGGATTCAAACAACTGCAGACTGAAAATATTTTTTTAAAATTCCAAAAAGTTCCAAAAAGCAAGACTTGAATGTCAGGCAATTATTTACATAGCATTTACATTGTATTTACAACTCTTTACATAGCATTTACATTGTGTTAGGTATTGTAAGTAACCTAGACTTGACAAAGTATACAGGAAGCTGTGAACAGAATATATGCAAATACTACACCATTTTATATAAGGGACTTGAACATTCTCAGATACTATGGGGGTCCTGGAAGATATCCCTTGCAGGCACTGTACTCACTCATCCCTTCATTAAATCACATATTTCTGGTCCCCATCCGTAGAGTTTCTGACTCAGTAGGTCTAGAGTAGAACCTATCTGAGGCTCTGTATTTCTAACACCCCTGATGATGCTAATGTTACTGTTCTAGGAACCACACTTTGAGAAGCTCTGTCTTAGGTCATTTGCAAGTTGTGTTCTTCAAACATGGCTGGTCGGAACCAACTAGAATATGTCCATAGTTTTTTATAAAAAGAAATGACAGACATTCAAATTGGACACTGTCTCCAATATCCTACATCTTCTTGCTGCCCTGTCTTTCATCAAGTGCACCTGAGAATACCTCAGCCTGGCTTAGCCACCCTCAGGACTACCCCTGGTCTGCTAGGCACCAGTGGAGCAGATCATGCAATCAAGGAGATTAGCACTGCTATAAATGGGTGGTTATGATGCTCACGGTTACAAGCACTTCAGCGCTGATCAACAATCCTTCTATTGTCTGATTTATCAACTGGTCCTCCATGCTATCCCATACTCACAATTCTGGCTCTCCTGGGTGCCTCCCCACTATTGGCAGATGACCCTACAACCACTGCATGGGAAAAACAGAGGCAACTTCAGAGAACAGCCTCAATTATCTGCCACCAAACAACCAAAAATCATCCCAAGCCAATAATTCTTCGCCTTCTTTGATTCCAATGGAGTTGGTGGCCTCCAACTTTCTAGCAGTCTCAGCAACCTGCTTCTCGAAGACACAGCTATGATTATTGCACCAACCTTTCCTTCTCTAC